TATAGACTTATTAAAAACTTGTCAAAACTAAAGGTTTTACATTTTAATAAATCTAAAATAGGTTTCGTCAGACAACTATAATCTCACTGTATTTTGTGATTAAAAAGGTATAGTATTATAAAACTTAATTAATAAGTTCACTATATCTTATAATTTATCAATCTACTTCATCTTTTTTAAGGAATAAAATTATTTTTTCTTTTATTATGAAGTTTTGTAAAATGGCAATACAATTATTTTGATTAATCTAAGAAATAAATATCAACAATTATTAACAATTTTTTTTATGTTTCAAAACAATTATATAACATATATAAAAAAAATATCTTATGGTATTTTCTGCTTTTTGTAATTTGGTTTATTTATTTGTTAAAACAAGAGCTAGGATTTGTATCTTATTTAAAGAAGATTATCCATTCTGCTAAATAGCAACCAAGAAAAATATTTTTTAATTAACTATAATAAGAACCAAGTAACATAAAATCAAATTAGTAATTTAAAGACCAGTTTAAATCTGAATGTTTACGACTCTTAACTGACTAATATGAACGAAAAGTTTTAAGACTAATTACAAATGGTAAATATACTAATGCTGTTGCAACTAAAAACAGAAGAACAAATTAAAATTAGTGAATGTACAATCAAGAGAGCCTTACATAAAAATAGAATAAGTAGATTAGTTGAGTTAAAATTCATGATTTACAGGTCAGATGGTAGAGAATATTGTTGGAAAAAACCAAATGAACTATTATATAATTATCATGTTAAATAACAGTCAATTTTGGGTGGATAATATTATAGTGTGGGGATGCTTTACTCTTAGTGCTCCTAATGAGTCAAATTGGATCAGGTTTTGAGAATATATTTAACCCAATCTGAATGAAAAAGGAAAACCCGTAAGTATTCAGGTCACAAATTTTTTATAATCTGAATCGATTTGACCTGAGTATAGTTTAACCCATATAAACCCGAATCAAGACTTGAATTTTTTACTCTAAAAAATTGATCTGCAAGACAATGAAAATGATTGTTAAGTAGGTCACACAAATTATTATTATGCTATGAATTTAAATATATTATTCATTAAAATATATATATATATATTAACATTAAAATTCAAAATTTATTAATTAATAAAAATTATTTTATGCCTGCTAAATATGTATGCACTAATTGTATCTGAATTAAGACTACATCTTTTGATAGCTACCAAAATTTCTTTTTTTTTCGTTTCTCTTTAAAACTTTTCATTATATTGTTTTTTGATATTTTTGATTGTATCTGCTTTAGGAACCAATACATCTGAATTTAAAAATCTTTATTATATTTCAAAATCCTTATTTTATGCTGCTGTGAATAGTTGATCATCAGTAATTATCTATTTAGTAAGAAACTTACAAAAGTCTGTTTGTATAACTTGAGAATAAGAATAAAATAAATAAAAAAATAATAACCAAGAAATCTAAATTCTTTTTTAATTTTATAACTTATATAAAATTCTAATTATTTAATTATATTTGCTTTAGAAGGAATCTCTGTCTAACCTACGAATTTATCTAATGTGATTTGATCTTCTGCCACTGATTTTTTTGCTTTTTGTTGGACTTTAATCTTTTTCTGAATGATGAACTTCTACATGACGCCAAAGATTAGTTGTATTAGAATCAATTTTATGAAGCCAGATTTTCTTTTTTCTAAAATTTTAAGAGTATTTAGTCAATACTTGGCAGATATTTCAACATGTTATGATAAATTTTACTTACAAACAATTAAGACACTGAACTTCATGATAAGTTTTTACATTTTCATGATCTTATGAAAGATTTCTTTTCTCAAAGAGATTTTTAGTAAAAAGCTTATTATACAAAGCCTTTCTTTTTTCAAGACGTTAAGTTGGTGAAGTTGTTGGTTCAGTTAGGTCAACAGACATTATAATAAGATTATTAGTAATGGATAAAAAGGTGGCTTAGTAATTTAGTCTTAATAAAAAAAGGAACAAAAAAAAAGATTTGGATAATCAAAATAAACTAATAATTATCGGGTTGATTCAGGTCAAAACCTGGGTCAAGAAAATGAATGACCTGACCCATTGGGTCAGGTCATGCGGGTCACAGGCCATCAAAATTCATAATACTGACCTGACTTAAAAGTCAGGTCGGGTCAAATTAACCTGGGTTGACTCATATCGTTCAGAGCATTATTAATTCTGGAAGGGTTGGTAACATATGCAGAATTTATGAATATATGAATGGTGATTTATATCGTCAAATTTTGAAGGAAGACTTTTTAGGAACCATCAAGTGGCATGGAATGGATAAAGAAAATATTATCTTTCAACAAGATAATGATCCTAACCACACTGCAAATCTTACTAAGCAATAATTTGAGGATAATAGGATTAAAGTTCTTGATTGGCCAGCACAGACCCCTGACTTAAACCCAATAGAACACCTTTGGAATGAATGGAACGGCTTGAAATACCTGTTAGAACACAGGATCAGTTGTAGGATGCAATTCAAAAAATTGGGTTGAATTGGGGTCCGATGTATGCAAAAAGTTGGTTGATACTATGCCAACTCTTATAAATGATATAATTAAAGCTAATGGTGGTTATACGAAATGGTAGATAATTATTTACCAAAGTTTTAATGCAATGGGTTAATTTTTATTTTTTTTTTATTTACATAAAAATTTTAATAAAAAATCGATCAAAAGAAAGGATCGCGTAAATGATCAAAATCAAGTATTTAAAAATTTTTTGTCATATTATTACGCAACGATTTTTATACCATTGAATAGATTCGTCTAATAAATAATTTTGGTAACGCTGCGCCTCCTTAATCACAAGATAATGCTATTTTAAAATTTGTATTCGGATGATGCAATACTTTTGAACGCTACTGTAATTGTTAATCCAAATTTAAATTAAAATTTCTAAACTCGTCTTTCCATCTACCGAAATCAATCCTTGAATGATAGATTTTCAAATTTTAATAATGATCAAATAAATTCATAGTAATATTTTAATTATAATTAATTATGTTGATGCATATAAAAATTTAAATCCAGCAATGCGATAGGAATTTAACTTGGGAATATCAATCAAACTTGTGAGACTGGTCTCTTGATTTTCTAATTACTGGCAATAAATATTATCGTGGATTAAATAAAATAGTCCAATTGAAGTTTATTGGTATTTTTATTTTTTTTTTTCCTTAATCGAGTGTATTGTGTGACAAGCGTTTTCAAGAACGACAAAGTATGACTAAGAGAGTCCCATTTCGTAAAGGAAAAGGAATATCATTTATTGTTATTTGACGGAACAAAGACTCGTTGGAAGCATTTGAAGACAAGTGATTCTTTTAAAAAAATTATTTCAGGAACTTTTATTTATGGCTTGTTAGTAAGTGGTATTATTATTATTATTATTAATAAAATTGGGATAATGTTACAACTGATCGTATAATTTAATCTTTTAGAATTCAGAGCTACACGTTTTTTCCTATTCGATATCATTTTAATTTATGAAACTGCTTCTCTTAAATGAGATTTCGAATGAATTAACAATTTTTAAAAATAGGTTAAAAAGAGACATTTTATGTTAATTTAGGTAAGACGATCAAATGAGTGATGTTTATTAATAATAGGAGTGAAGCGTACCTCCAGCCCGCATTATTATAATTTTGGCCGGTCAATCTTGAATGAAATGTCACACGATGCACTCATCACCCCACGGCCCTTTTCGTATCACCCTTCTAATTAATTGTTGGTGTAATATTATAAAAATAAGTTTTGCTAATGTAACGATTTTCGTTTGTATGACGGGAACAACGGATCATCTTATCCATTATTTAAGAATAGAACAATGATTAGATGTTAAAAAGAAAAATAAATAATAACGTAGGCGTTTACAACATCGAATGACAAAATAGAAAAATGACTTAAATTGGCAATATGACAATGAAATGACTTATAAATTTGCAATATATTTAATCTTTTTATTTTTTATGGTAATTCGGACAAATTTAATAGTAAAATTCCGGGGATTCGGACCAGAAATCACGGGTTCGGTGACAGCTCAGTTTACAACAAAGGACAACGGAGATATTATGACCGAGGTTTCGCATACAAACTATGCTTCATCTGTTCGAAATGATGTAACTTCCAAACGATCCCAAGAATTATCTGGTCGCGCCAAGAAATTTAATTTCAGCCTCTTACTCCGTCATGAGTTTTTGCTTTTGAATACTACCAAAATTGTCAATAAACTAACGTTTTGACCCGAGTCTATACATTCATTGACCCCGAGAATTAACAAAACCTGTTCTATTAAATCTAGTTCATCATAAATAATAGAACTAGTTTTATTTGGTTAGATAAACAAACTCATCTCGATCTTTTTTAATAATAGCGTATTAGGAATGGTGGTTTGTCCGTTTTTTTCTCGATTTATTTATATATTTTTATTAAATAAACAAATAAGAAAAAAATTCCAACTCGATGCCAAGTAAATGACGCGTTACTTTTGAATCAATTTGATTTGATATTATAAATATGAATTAAATTTGAGGGATATTCTTGGAGAAATCACGAGTTAGTTAAAAATAATACTCATAATAAATATTTTAAAAAAGTGTCTCACTTTATTTGTTTCTTCTATAAGGCAAAGCTCCGATAATATGATGAACACAAAACTCCCAAAAATGGTACCACAACATCCTTTTTTTTGCTTGGCATTAATTAAATTAGTACGACTGACAATGTTTGATATAAAAATGTGATCGAAACTCAAAATTTTCACTTTACGACACACATTTGGACCCTTTTTTTTTTAATAAAAAAAAAAAATTATTTCCTCTTCAATGATTTAATATAAATATAGTATTAAAAAAAAACAAATTAAAAAAAAAATTTAATCTGGCTTGCAAGTAAGCCTTATTTTTTAAAAAAAAGAAAAACAAAATTTATACGGGGGTTTTTTTTTTTTTTTTTTTTGAGAAATGAAAAATTTATCAACGACTTTGTTCATCATCCTAATAGGATTATGTTTAACGCACACCGTATCATCGGAAAAATGCATACAATACTCAAATCCGCTTAATCAGAGGGAAAATAGAGTTTTTGATTGTCTAATGGCATCACCATCACAAAAACGACAATTACCAACTCCGCCGACGTCAGATAACATGTTTAACGTGCAATTTAATTGTCTGGTTGATGATAAAGTATTGTGTGGAAAGGTTGAAAACGTATTCGTTACAGCAGGAAAGTTTATAACAGCGACACTAAATCTTAAATCAGAAATATCTGTAAATGCGACATTTTTAAATTTTTGTGAGGTATCCATAGCACCAGGAATAGATTGTAATAACCCGTATAAAGTGATATTGGGTGCGGCAGGACCAGCGATGGTAATTCCATATAAAGATGTATCGGCCGATAAAGTAAGATTATATCCACAAGCATTATACAAACAAATGGGTTTACCGACACATCCACAATTTGCAACAAATGAAATCATGGCAGTATTTAATTCGGCTGCAAATTATTGGTTTGAAGGAGATCCATTGCCTATGCTAGAGAGACAAGCTGATATGTTACTAGTTGTAACTCATGAGTTGGTTCATGGTCTAGGGTTTACAACCGCGTGGGATGACCAGTTTGCTATCGGTGCATTGACGCCTGTTGTTGCTACACTGACAGACGATGATTCACCAAAAGCTCCAGGACCTATTCCAAAAGAACCAGGCATACCTGTCGATTCATTTCAATTCTTTGAATTAATCTTTGATAGCTTTTTGATTTTAACAGAAGATGGAACTCAAATGACAACACAAACCGATGAATTAAATAAATTCCAAATTAATTTACAAGAAATAAAAAGTGAAGCCCAGCTAATTGAGGCTTTTAAGGCTTCGCCACAATTTAAGGTCGCACAAAACTTGTTTATAAAAGCTACCACAAATGGTTCCATGGGTTTTAAAACAACCTCCGGTGATGTTGTTACATTAGAAACTGATCTACATCCCTTTCAACCTTCTTCGAGTATTGGACACGTAGATTTTGCAACCTATAAGAGTTCTGCTGATTTTCTGATGGTATTTAGATCTCCTAGCGCTACTCTTGGTCAAATGATGGGTATGGCCAATAGCATTGATACTTACGGTCCTATCGGTCCTTTATTGAGAGAAGTCTTACAATCGATAGGGTAAATTCAAAAGAATATATAATATATATAATTGTTGTTTTAATTCAATTTATTCGTGAAATTAACCATTATTTGATATTATTGATTTATTTTAGGTATGAAATCAAGGGTCAATATGTTCCTCCAGTCGATTTACCAAGTTCTAAAATTCCAATTCCTAACAAAGAACCTTTTTCTATTCAACCTGATGATGCTAATGAAAATGGCAAAAATAATAACAAAATGACAAACAATGGCAAGATTAATTCTTCATCCAATATCATCAATGTATTAATAGCGTTAGCTTATATATTATTTAACTTTTTCTTGTAGCATTGATTTTTGATAATTTTCAATAATAGAATTTTTATTTGTATTATTATTATTCGAGGTTTTCGATGTTCAAGCATTTAAAATATAAATTGTAAACGATTATAAACATTTTATGTATTTTTATGTATTTTAAAAATTAAAGGTTACATTGATCTTAAATGGTCCCAAATTATAATTGGAGAACTCACAATCTTCCTCAAATACCAACTTGCAATTTTTTAATTTTGCATATTGTCTCAACACCTCACTACATTTCAGATAACATCCATGATTCATCCAACACATCGATTCGATCCTAAAATTGGCATCTCTCAAAAATTGTTTTAAAGTGCTCGTATTAAAGCGCCAATCTGGAGTAAATAATCTAAGAGATTTAAATGTTTGAGGAAACGCTCTCGCGAACAAAGGTAAGTATTGTCTTACATCAACGTGATCATGGACTCGATTGAACGTGTTTGATGTGACGCTTAGCTTCTCAAGTGATTGATTATTTTCAATGATCGATAACAATAAAGGGAGCAATTCTTCGGATTTCTCAAGCATAATATCTAATTCAATCAAATGTTTGCATTCTACGAGCGAATTTAATGTATTACTTAAAGATTGAGAAGTTTTAAATCCATTAATGATTACGGTTTCTAAATTATCCTTGGAGTTTAATACAATGCTAGAAAATATTTCATCCAAGTCTACCTCATCCTCGATAAATTCTTCTTCTCTAATGATAACACCATCACTGAATTCGTTCATTTGATATTTATAAATAAATGATCTCAAATTATGAAATTTGGCTTTCATAAGGGGCACGAGTAATCTCTCATTGAAGTTACGATTTTCTCTAATAGTAATTTCTTCTAAATTTTGCAATTCCGATAAATACCATAATGGTTGACTGTTGTAAAGGTTACAATTCACGATCTTGATACTTCTTAAAGAATTAGATTGGGATCGAATGGATTGTAAAAGGGACGTGATTTTGGAGGTGACCCAATTATGAATTTCTAAATTTTGCAGGTTTGTTTGCGAATTGATCAACTGAATTGAAGGATCGATGCAATTTTCAATTTTGGATGTTATTGAAGTGGTGACGGGAAACAATTTCAATGTTTCGATTTTCTTACAACGTTTTGCAAAGAAAGCAAGCACTTCGCCCTTCCCGGAAAATTCAAAAACCTTCAATCCTCTAAAACAATCTCGTGATTTCATTAATTCCTCCAAGGCAAAGCAACCTTCTGGTCGATCAAAGAACGACGCATCCTCCTCTTTGCCCGTGCAAATATAGAGCTTGAATTCATTTATGTTGGCTTTATTATAAATTAGTTTACACAATTCACGTAAAATAACATTTTGCTTTTCAAGGAATAATTGAAGATCAGATGCGGCCTGGGTTTGTAACGTTATCGAATCAGCAAACACATTTGAAGAGAGAAACTTGGTCATGTTTAATTCTCTTCGAAGGTACTCTTCTATCGCATCACATAAAAATGGAATTGTTAACTTTCTTAGGAACGAAGGGTAATCAAACATGAAATTTCGTTCATTCTTCCTCGATCCGACACATTTCTCAAGTTTTAATTGATCATGAGAGGTTTCGGGTAAGAATGATAAGTACGTATCGATTAGATGAGGTGAGTTGGAGAGGTGGAACGGTTTACTCCATAATATTTCCATCAAGTTTACACACCAATGCCTTGACACTAGGACACATGAATATAATGAAGATTTATCATCAGCGAGGTACACAGTTATTTTTTGTAAGATTTCCATTGGGATAAAAGTTTTTACGCATTTCGAAATCGAAGTCATTTTTTAAATTACGAAATTTGGATTATTTTTTTTTTCTTTTAATAAACAATATTCAAAACGATTTTTTTGGATTCGTTGAAATCCGAACTCATATATAAACCTTCAAATGAATTAGTAGATCATACCTAATTCAAAGTTGGTTTCGATAGAGTCAAAGTATTAACGATTTTCTTGTGCCATTATTTACATAATACATAATAAGAACATGTCGGTTTAATTCGCTCGTCCGATATTAAAATATGTGGTGATATGACGAAAGGGTTTATCAAAAACAGTCATCTTCGGGACGTAGAGATTTTGGGTTTAACCCAATATAGTATTGTGAGAAAAAAAAGGAAAATTTGTTTTTTGCTTCGTTGATTATATAAAAAAGCGATAAAGTAATAACCATAGTTGTAAAATTAATAAGGTCATAGTAATTATTCAAATATGGATACCGATCATGGTAGGTCAACTTTACGTGTAAAAATCAATTTCGGATCGGGAAATTTCAGGTTATTTCGGGGGGGGTACTAAAATTTTTTTGTTTTTTTCAGGCTGGTTGGGCAGAGGTAACCAAGGTAAAAATCATACACCTTTCATATGCTATCAAAAGAAAACATTATGCAATCGGCTAAATACCTTGGATTTCTTTGGTTAGTCCCATAAATGATTTCGTCCCTCCCCCCTTTCGATGTTTATCAAATACATAATTTATTTTCCCATTACGCGAATAGCAAACATTTTTTTAATTTAAATCTCTTTTTGTATCGAGACATAACTTCGTTATGAGATAGATTCGTTTCTGTCAAAGATAAATCATGACCTCATGGATCGTTCTTCCCCTTTTTTTGGAATGTTACTTTAGAAAGATGATGTTTTTCAATGATATAGAACGGCTGACGCTACTGCGCCATAAACGTTTTAAATTTTCTTTTTTTATTAATATTAGAAGTTCACATAAATGATAAATGATCTTCATAACTTCAGAACGAAGAAAATTCGGATGATAATTAGAAATGAAATAAATCCTTTACCCTACCAAAGATATCCTTATTGAAATATCTTTTACCAATACAATATGAAAAAATAGTAATCATTATTATATGTTTCATTCAAAATACGGGATATTAACTTACCAAATGATTGAAATTCACCAAAAATAACTTCCTTGATTAGCTGGAATATCTGGAATATTTGAATATTCATGTTTTTACCGCAGCAGGGATACAAAAAGTCTTTTGAATCCCCCAATAGTTCTTCGGTTGTTTTTGTTCGACGTCACTGTCAGGATATTTATCATAATTTCCGATTTCTAAAGAAATAATGATATTGTAAAAACAAACGAGACATAAATAACTTAATAAAACGCCATTCTTGTTGCTTCAATTTGCCTTTACCTTGAAGAAGAATGATTCCATGTTTAATCTCTCGTGCGTGTTTACTTTAATTACACATTTTGATGTTTGAAGTTTATTTCCTTTGACAAAAAAAAAATTATTTTTGAAATCAAAAGAAAGCTTAAAGTAGTAATTATATCCTTTGAAAAATGGGAAACGGGAAAACTAAGTTCGTTAAATAGTGTATTGTATTATACTTTCCTTTAATCACCTATAATTTCTGATCTGTAATATAGATTATGACGCAAAATCAGTTAGCGTATATTATTATTTTATGCGACGTAACCTCGGACAAATAATGGGATGAGCACAAAATCATTTTTTAAAAAAAAGAATAAAGTTTAACATTAAAACATTCATTATTTTAACATTCTAATTTAGAAATCTTGTTGGCACGGTTGTTCCGGTAAGAAAATGGGTTTAATTGTTTGTTTATTATTTATTAAAGAAATAAAATAAAAATAAAAATAAAGTCGAACTCAATTTATAGAATTTTATCTAAAAATATTTCATGTCAAAACTTAAAATAAATAAAAAAAAAAGATAGCGAATTTTTTTGAACAACGTAGGGCAAAAAATAAGAAAAAAAAAAATATTTTCTTTTACAACTTTTTTGTAATCGTCCATGTCATCTTTCTTTAACAAAAACAAAGAAACGATTTCTTTCAAGTTTATCTTATTCCATTTTTCTTATTATAGAAATCTTATTGTTACGACTTTTTTCGTAAAAAAATTGATTTTGCTGACCCAAAAAAAGAATTATTTATAAATATTTCAATTTTTAAGGATTCCAATCTAAAAATATGTACCTTTTGTCTTAAAATAAAAAAAATGATGAAGGGGAAAAAAAAAATTTTTTTTTTTTTGGAGGGAATTTTTAATTTTGTTCTTACAAAAATTCGTAATTTAGGCCAGATTTATAATTTTCAAGCGGTAATTTTAAAACAATCTTAAATTATTTAAAATTTTCATAATCTTATGCAAAATTTCAAAATCAAGTTTAAGAAATCAACATCTGCTAACAAAAAGTATTAAATAATTATGAAACAATTAAAAATAAACAATTAATTTGATTCAAACAATTTGGGGAGTCGATCTTCGGAAATTTGGTTAATCGGAGTAATAAAAAGTATATAAACATTTTTACCTTTATTCCTAAAATAAAATAAAAAAAAAAAAAAAAAAAAATTTAAAAATAAATAATATATAAAATAATAATAAAATTAAACTTAAAAAAGAAATCTTTCCTTCAGGTTTCATTACATTTAAAATTTCGAACGTTTAGGAGTGTTTCACCAAAATAAAGATCATTTTCGGGTCATCTCAATGTAAATCAGTTGATTATTCCCGAAAGAGAGATTTCACGCGAATAATGTTTAAAGAAAAACAACAAACATAAAAGAAAGAATGCGGTGATTCCCGTGTTCGTTTTAAACACAGCCTTAGAAATAACTTCCGATAGAAATTAGTTACTTACTATAAAAAGGAACTTTAGAAATAGAATGATTACCTGTGCTGATTTGCTAGACATAATGCGCATAAAATTTGGACTTCCCGATTTTTTTTTCTTTGTCGCGAGATTTACCTTGACATTCTATTGAAAGAGCAGTTGGGCGAATAAGCCATATTGAATCAATAATCATATATGTATAAGCCCATGCCTGAAGGAAAAAACGGATAATAGTTCTTTCATAGTACATTTAATTTGGTCATTTTGGGAACTTTTGAATCATTTTCATCAATCAAAAAAAAAAAAGAGATTGACCATACATTATTATTCGTCAACATACATTTTTTTTCCTCCTTCGGTTTTAGACTTTCGTATTACATGTATTACATGTAACGCTCGTATTTATAGGAACTAACTAACATCACAACGGCAATATCACCGATAATACTCCGATTTTTTGGGGGATTCGAGGTTGATTGACACTATTAATTGTCAAATAAAATATAATAAGATGCGCTAAGGTTGCATTTCCCGCTAGGTTCTAATTAAGGATTAAAGATATGTGAAGCCACAACGGATATATCTTATTCCGTATCTAAATTTACATTGAAAATCTGATTATTGTTGAGGGAGATGATTCGTAATTTTAACTCTGGTAAAATTCCCGTATGATGTTTGCAGCACACATTTATTTGTAAAATAACGCGTTACATGAATCCCTTGTCACACCATATCCTTGTCTTCCATTGCTCTTTACCTTTACATAACACCGGTATTTTTGAACATCACATGAATATCTTGAACAAATTGCAAGAGAAACGTGGGTACCATTCGCATAAGGTTAGCATTAGAAATTAAACGTTTCATTAAATATATCCTTATTTGTAAAAGAAAATTGATTTTAGGTTTAGTTCATTTTTTCATGATTTGATCTCATCTGACGTTTATTTATATGGTAGAAATGTGTTACATTTAAAAATAATTTAAATAAATAAATATATATATATAAATATATTTTTTTCACAGCATTATTAAATAAAAAGAAGAGCATCTTGAAGGTTACATCACTTCAAGGTCATATCGTTCCATTACCCACCATTTGGGCATTTAATTGTTACATAAGGATTGATTCTACATTCTTTCCGCATTTTACAAAAGTACTAACCGATAATGAGTTCCAAACAGCATATTTCATAATAATTTCCTTTTAAGTTCATTTTCGTGTTTGTCCATCCATGTAACAAAAAACTAAATTTCGTTGCGTATCAATTATGTATGAGCCTCATGATAATTATTTTAATTAGATAGCAAACCAAAATCATAGGGATGAATTGTTTTTTATTTTTGCGCATTGTTTTTCAAATTAGGAAATAATAAATTATTGTATTATGTCAAAAACCCCTCCCACGGAAAATTTTGATTATGTTTACCATATAATTGGTTCGTTTGCATAATTTTATTTTTGGTAATTTGGCATTTTTATTCTTTTCTCTTGACGATCGTTTTTGATTAACAAGGGATCCATTATAAAACGATTTTGGATAATAATTTAAAAAAGGAACATCACACACATCACACCTTTAAAAGCAATGTTGAATAATAAATCTCGGAAACGACACACCCTCCCATTGTGCTAATGTACGTCAAATTCATTCTACAATTGGCAAAAGCCTGACCCCGGGGACAGCATATATCAATCCTTCCAAAACATCCTTATGAAGGTTATGCATCCAATATAAATCAATCATCAAATTTCTATATTGGAAAGACAATTGAATCTATTTGTACTGTCAAGTGTTACAAAGCTTATATGTAAAATAGGCGTACTTTCCTTTTTGGCATATGGTATTGATCCATGTTACATGCCTAATATATATATATATGAACTTTTTTTAAAAAAAAAAAATGTCAAAATCGATGTTGTTGGATGCAAGACATTTCATTGGATCAAAATTATTCATCTTGAAAATTGAACTTGTTACCAAATTTGTGATATAAAGCAAAGAGAAACCAAACGTACATCAAACCAAACACAAAAAAAGACGAATATCAATTCACGTGCGAATTATGCACGGTAAATGAACGTTCACGATTCAATAATACATACATCAATCATTTCCATGTCGAAGAGGTCTTTGAAAGCTAAAATTGTCATATTGAAGTCCACGCAATTAAGGCAGCATGATAAAAAAAGAGGATACCCGTGGCATGTTTCATGATTCTTGGCGGTAAAATTTACACGTGCGAAACAAAAAGTTTTATTCCCTTAACTTTTTTTAAATTATTGTTTTACTTGAATAAATAAAATAAGACAAAAAATTAGTCGGCTGCGGTTCCTTCATTTCCCTATTTACACAAAGATCTAACTGTAAGGGGTACATTATACTCCAAGATGCATTGTGAACCCATTTCCGACCGTAATTGGTAAAAAATAATAATAGGAAGTCGTTTAGAAGATAAAAGATGAAATGCAAGTGAAATTTTCAGAGATGTTTGTTAAATTACACGTTATGGGGTGATTGACAAGATTTGCGATTAATCGGACTGCGGCAACAATTTCAAGAATCTCCGGGGAGATTTCCGCATGTAGAATCTAAATATAGAATTTATTTATAGATGGAATTAATAAAGGAATGTTTTAATATGACATCAAAAAAAAATACCACTGCGGAATTAATTATATTATTTAATTATCTTTTTTTTTTTCAAATAGAAAAAAATTACAATTTTATAAATTCATTCAACTATGATTTACTACTGTATTGTCTATTGTATTATTTTATTTATCTTGTTACTATATATGTAGTCTATTTTTATTAAATCAATATATCGGGAAGATTTTCCAAATGAATGATTATTATATGATTGATAAAGTTAATGATGTTTTTTATATTACTTTATAATTGAATTAGATGTTGATATTAAAAAAAAAAAAAAAAGATTTATTTATCTCTGTCAATTATATCATACCCGTGCGTGTGTGTGTATATATATAACAATATATTTATATAAATAGTTGTAACTTACAAACAAAATTTTTTTTTTAATTTTTTTTTTGAAATAAATTCCCAAACTAAGAATAAATCTAATGAATAACCCATTTAGCTTGTTTTTATTTTCAATATTAATCATTTGAATGTGAAATATGTGTTATTAAATTACCTTTTTTTTTTTAAAGTTTTTCGTATCCGATTTTGCTCCCATTTCCTTTTTCCGGTTCTGACTTATTTTCCTTTAGCTTCTCCCTGGTTTTATTTATAGAAAAAAAAAGTTTTTTAGTCTAAATAATTTATCCGTTAATTATATAAATATATAAATTTCGTGCGCTCTTATAGTTTTTTTTTTTTTTTTTTTTTTCCTTTTCCTTTTCCTTTTTCCCTTGTCCCTTTTTTTCCTCTAACAAATAAAAAAATTTTTTGCTATGATTATTTAAAGAATATCTTTACCATCCAATCTTTAAGATTCGTCTACACATTCTACGAAAAAAAAGAGGAAAAAAAGAAAAATCATCTCATCGATTTTTTTTAAAAAAGAAAAAAAACAAGAAAAAAAAAGATTATAAATTATGAGAACAACGCTACATTCACTATTCATCATCATTTTACTCGTCATACAACTTTTCACGCAAAATTCATCATTAGCATTAGAAATAGACATATCTATCACAGATACGAGTGATTTGAATGAGAGGGTAATTCAATCAACGACTTACCGAGACAATACAATTTTATTAAGGTTAGCCAGAGACGTAAATTATAATCCAAATACAGGATTAATTTGTTCGGCAAATGAAATCGACTTGAAATTGATTCACCGAAATGGGACAATCAGAAATCTGACAATCGGCAGTCATGATCCTCCTCTTAGTATTCTTGCAGAGAACTTTTGCATACCATTGTCAATAACAACCACACCTTCAACGCACTCGAGCCCGTTCATCACTCCACCCCCGTTCTCTGCCATTGGGGACGAAGGAAGTACCGTAACTTTACCAACATCATCGTTAATTAGCGAAGGTGGTATAATATTGGATGGGATAAGGATATATGCATTACAACAAAATTATATTTTATTAACATACTTTTGTAGATTAGAGATAGTAGATGGGGCAAGCATATCGGAAATATGCGGAATGTTAATTAATTGGAACAATGAAGTTATGAATGTGATCAATTTTGGGCAAACGTGTTCGGATAGCGATATCGTGGTACGAAACGAAGGGGGGGAATTTTTAAGAGCGTGTTTTCTGTCGGATCAAAAACAAGTGATATGGACGAGATATACGATTAATGAGGAAAAGATAGTCGTGCAAGATTCCGGCACGATAATAAATGTTAGTCAATTTTCACCAAACTTGACAGAAATCTTTCCAACCGAAAATGGTGGTTACGGAATCGTAACCGCTCAATACACGGGAGAGGTCGACTCGTTGTTCTTACCTCCCTGGACACTTTTCCTTCAGTTCATCTCACCTTCCAGATCAAATGGCGTCGTTAATCAAGCTAGTTCCATAAGTAGTGCCTTTCAAATATATAAACAAATGACCGAAAGTCTTACATCTTTAGATATTCATAAATGTGGTATCGCATATCAGGGATATGGGTACAATTGTATAATATACATGGCTAGAGCGACCGGATTTTCCGGTGGTGTATTTGTTAGTATTGATTTTTTAGATTCCGGTGGCGTTTTAAATACTACCGAATTTAGAATTACTCCCGTCGGAATTTTCCCTAATGTTATCAGAATCGAATCATTATATTATGGGGGATATTTAATATTAATTCAAAATGCTAACGTGGAAGGGTTAATTTATAGTAATAACGGTACCGTGATGAGTGATGGTTGGCGTATGCGATCATCAATTGTTACCGGTGATGGTGTCGTGATCCCATTGAATTATACCAGTAACGTTGGAGTGTTCACCAATAATACGTTTTGGTGTGTCGCGAACAGTGATGATGGAGTGAAATTTATTACAAATGATCTATTGACCAACATCTCAACCATTTCTGATCCTAATCTGTTAGATTATGGAAATCATTTTGTTGAATCAACTTCTCCTAAAATTAACGATGTGATTCCAAGGGATATTACTAGCATCTCAATTACTTTTACTAATTTGGTTGAATTATCAACCGGTAATGTGAGCATATGGCAAACCTCAAATCATGATGATAGTAGTCTGGATACCCTAAGACAATCTTTCCCCGCTACTCAATCTCAATTTATTCGTTTTGATGGGAGGAGAACCGTTAATATAACGGTATTTAACTCCACCTTTAATACTCCTGATGCGAGTTATTATGTTAAAGTTGATAATGGTTTTGTGAAAGATTTGCGTGTCAGTCAAAATTTACCTGGCGTTCGAGAAAATCTCTGGACGTTTAAAACTGGTGAGTTGTTGGGTTTGGTTCTTGGGGAACCATGTTGAAGTTTTACTGCGTAACGCGTCGTGTGGCGCAGTACCATAAGTCGATCGTTTTTAATCTCTCCCTCTTGTATTCTTTTGCTTGACAGGTATAGGCGAACGAGAGTTTTTTTCAGGTATTACAAAATGCCCACCTCTCGTTTTTTTACTTTCCCCCTTTTTTTACGTGTCTGACTAAATTAACTGATTAACTAGGATCGGTGAAAGCAATCGTACGATTGACACCGGAAGGAACGAAATTTTACGAGACATTGTCGTCACCAAAAAGGAACGAATTTTCGAAGCAAATTTCTGTTCAATTATCAAGAACGATACCATGCGATCCACCACGATTGATTACATTAGAAAATTCTCAATATGATCCAACCACGCAATTTAAACAATTGTTGCTTCGCGTTAATGTTAAACCACAGAATAATGATGGTTTGCAAGGGGTGGATAATAGTCTTAGTAGTTTAAGGATCATAAACGATTTAAACGTTTTAATTACAAATAAAGATTTCACCAATATTGGTAGAGGGAATTTATCTAGCATGTTAGACAATCGATACGGAAGTAAAATCATTCGTAAGTAATACTAAACCTTTAACGAGATGGGCGAAAAGGATCAGTGATGAAGACTTTATGGCTAACGCGTAAATTTCCCGTTTTTTTTAGCCGATTTATGGATCAAATATCGATGGATCTTGATAGGAATATCTGTTGGTTTAATACTATTACTACTATTATTCTGGTTAGCGAGACGAAAATACCAAAACGTAATATAAATTAAATTATTTGATATATGACCATTTTGACGAGATTTATTTCAAAAATGCTAATGTTTATTTACAAAAAAAAATATAATAATAGGGACGAAATTACGTGATATTTATGTTTACGGTAATAGCCGTTGATTTAGGATTAGATATTGCATTTATATTAAGGCACGGAAAGGATTTGAAATGGTTATACCCCGTAAGGTTCGTATGATCTTTTTATTTTCTTTATTTTTAAGATAAAAAAAAATGATATTAATATAATGATAAGGAAGAAAATGTAATAACCTTTTTTTTCTCCTCTTTATTTCTTTAGCGTTATATTTTTGGTATTTCCAATATTGATAAATACAATTTCTACATTTATGATAATAACAAGAGAAACAGGAAAAGAGAAAGACTTTTTAAATTGGTGGAGAGATAATTCAAAAACTGCATTAGTGTTTACATTATTTTCCGGTATTGATGTTGAAGCATTAAACATTGTTAATTCTGAATGTGGTGGTATCAATGAATTAAGTGCTCCTTTGGCAGATATAACCATCGAAAAAGTTTTAATTGTTAATGGGGTCGTTTTATTTTTTGAAGATATTCCTCAATTAATAGTATATGTAAGTACATTTTGCAAAAATGGTTGGGAAAAAAAATTAAGTTACTAATTAACTCCCATCTCCTTTCCGGTAGATTATGTATCAAAGCATGACTGTGATACCAGCGATAATTCCAATATTGGCATTATCATCATGTTGCGTGGTATTAACACTCAAGTCAATAGGACTAATGTATTTTTGTACATTATATCACAAAGCTCCACCATCATCATATAAACCTGATAATAAAGGGAAGCAAAAAGAATCGGACTTTTATTCACCAGGACCATATTCGTCAGAATTATCAATTGATACATCAGAATTACCGCAACAATTATTTACAAATAGCAGGGAAGGAGATATGACACCTGAGGATTTACACATTCTTACAACCGATTCCGGTAAAACTAAGGTTTACATAAGGCATCCGGATGAATTCAAAGATTTGGATTTAAAAACGGTTAAAGAAAGTACCGTGGGGGAAGGTCTAGCAAGCATAGAACCTGGTGAAGGAGGAAGGATATCTGATATTGGTATCATTGAATCTACCGAAGGTCCAGCAATAGGCAGTAGTTCTAAGCGAGGATCTATTGGTGGTAAAGAATATAAAGATATTCAACCAACCGAAATCGAATTATCAGAAGAAATTAAACCTTCTGAAAAAAAAGTAGTTCCTATTGATTCAGCTTATCGATCAAAATTGATTGAACAATTTGATATAGATCCTGAAGATATTAAATCTGGTAAAATAACCATATCTTCAAGGATTCCTTCTCAAGCACAAACACGAGTTGAGCAACCAGAACCACAAACTTCAACTTCAAGAAGGATTGTTAGTAATATTAGTAGAGTATTGGGTGGTAGTAAAAAAGGAAAGGGTGGTCAGGATAGTAAAAAAGGTAAATCTAAAGATGATAATAAGGATCGAAAAAAGGATGAAAATGATTAACATGATTTACTTTTTAGGGTATAAACTTTTAATAGGATTTATTATTAGGAAATATTTAAACTTATTTTATTATAATTTTTTTTTTCATTTAGATACAGTTTATAATTCTTTAATATACGATATGCATCAATCATTCAAAAAATTCTTTATACATCATCTTTTACAAACATCACTTAAGTTTATATTGGTTTAAAAATTTTTATGGTTTTATGGGTTTTATAGTTTTATGGTTTTATATTTGATGTAAATTTTTTTTCTTTCACTTATTAAAAATTAATTTCTTTTCTTTTCTTTCTTTGCTTCTCTTGTATTTTTACAACTTCACTATTCAAGAAAAGAAAATTTTTTTTTTGTTCTTTTTTATTTAATTCTTTAATTTTGTTAAATTTTTGTACTTTTATTTGTTTATACAAGATCACTTTATTCTTTTTTTTTTTTTATTTTTTTATTTTTTTTTTTTAAAAAAAAAAATAATAATAAAATTTGTATATGTGTGTGTATATAAAAAAAAATATCTTACAATAATTTACAAATCATTTTTCCTATGTATAAATACACATATTTTGTATTTGTATATTTTTTTTTATTAAAAAGCAACGAAAAAAAAAAGAAAAGGAAAATTTTTTAATTTCAATCGAGAGCAAAAGAACGATGCGTTATTTTCACGTGGTGCAAGGAATCATTCCCAGGATCTCTTTACTATGATTGATGGGACGTCTTACGAAATTTAATATTAGATCTGTATTATGCATTATGGACATGGTAATATTACTAAAAATTATCCATTGTTTATATGAAAGTAAATTATTTCGGCAAAACAAAAAATTTTTATTTAGGTTAAACGGATAAATTTTTTCCTTATCAACGAATTTTGTCACAAATCAATCTAATAGGAAATAGTTATGTATCGGGAATTAAGTTATTTATAGAATTCCCCATTGTAAACCCATTGTAAAATCGAAAAAGGTATGATTATTGAATACAAACCAGGTTTGACATTATTACAATCATTCTTCCTTTTTGCTTCTAATAAAAAAGAAAAAGGGATCATAAAAGGAAATTTTTTATACATCATCAAACTCTTTTTTTCGCTTGATTATCAATCTCACTTGGATTAATTTATGCAAAGTATAAAAATAATTCCATTTGTTTAAAATAAGTACTTCAAATTTCGATTAGCACCACATCATCACCTTTATGTAATCCTTTATATTCGGGTAAAACGCAAGGACCGAAAATTTATGGTAAAAATTTTTAGTACGAGAACAAAACGTGTAAGATCTTATTCCCCTCACATGGCATCCTTTGGTATTTGCGAATCCTTGGTTTCAGAAATATAAATTGCCAAGAATGACACAACAGCAGCTGATACAAATATTGGGCCGAATTTTTTTCCATTCCATTTAATAAATGAAAAGAATGGTTTTACACAGTATATATAATTTTGCTTATCAAAAGACGTAATACGTACTGGATACTCCGTGTTTAATTTTAGAAAATTACGCCCAGAATAAAGCATCTCAGATCCCCCGTTTTTTTTTTTTTAATTGTAACCACTCTTAGCGTTAGGTACTTAAATTAATTACAAGTCAAATATTTTGTACATACAAGTTACGTTTCTCTTTTTTTTTTAATAGATTTACTGAAAATTTCAAGTTTCTGTGACATTTTAAACCTCTAATGCATAAATTAAAGCTAATCAGAATGCTTAATAAGTTTATTGGTACATTTTGTGATCTTGAAAAAATAATAAAAACGTTTTCTCTTGAATAGTTAATAGTTAAGCACTTTTAAACCGCCGATCCGCTAGTTTATTAACACAAAAAGTTTGTGTAAATCAAAAATAAAAAAAAATCTATTATCATCAAATTATTAAAAATAATCATTTAAAGATTACTTTTAAAAGTATTACTTTTTTATAAAAAAATAAACATTAGTATTTTAATGATTTATTTTTTAAAAAAATAAACTATATTAATATATTTATAAATATAATAATTATTATTTATTATATTTAAAATCCCATTTTGTTAGTATTAATTTTAATCTAATTATTAAAAATTTTATAAAACCTTACATATTATCAAAAATTCATTTTAAATTATTAATAATTTATAATTTCTTGAAACTAATTTATTAAATATTAATGTTTATTATTATTATTATTATAAATCTTTTTATAATAAATTTGATATAAATTAAATATAAAATATATATTATAAAGTTTTACTTATTATTACATAAAATCTTTATAATTATAAATTGTTTTAAATTATATAATTTTATAAAATTAATTAATTTAATTAATATAAGCTAATTTTATATAATTATACTTTATTTCTAAATTAAAAAATCTAAAAGTTAATTTAAACTAATTTAAATATTAAGTTATTTAATAAATTATTTTTTAATTAATTTGTGATTTATATAATGATCAGAGAAAATTATTTATTTTGACAAAATACAATTTTACTAATTTATTATATTATCTATAAAAATATAATTTGATTTATATAAATTATGATTAATTTTTTTTTAAAGTATTCATATTATATTAAATAGTTGATTTTAAAATTTTATAATATAAATTTACTTATTTAATTATAATTTACAAATTGACTATATTCTAAATTTTTTTTAAATTAATTATTTTAGAATATTTAATTTAAATCCATTTTATATAAATATAAAAAGTTATATGTTAAATAATTAAAAGTTATATTTTAAATTATTTTATTTAATTATTTTGATCAAATAATCATAATTATTAATATAAAATTATAAATTTTAATATTTTAATTTTAATTAATTAATTAGAAAATTCTTATTATTATATCAATTTATTAAAATATTTACTATTTTTTATATAAGAATGCTAAAAACTTATAAGATTTTTAGAAATATTAATTTATTTGACTAATTAATTAAACCAATTTTTATTAAAAAATAATGTCTCAATTAATAATGCTTGTCATTAAAGATGGTTCCCATAATTATTTTTAAAATTTTTAACTAGTTGCAACTTAAGTTGTAATACTTTGAGTTGCAACTTCTTAATTATGGTGTTCATCTTTACTTGTCATAATAAATAAATTACTACAAGTGTAATTACAGTTCATGACATAAATATTCAAAATTTATCATAACATATAAACGTATCACAAACTTTATTTTTTTATTTCAAATTTATATTATCAATAGATAATCATATAAAAAAAACATATTAAAAATTAATAATTTATCATATATCCATTTTTTTGACATATTATCTGCTAAATTAAAGATTTCCTATTCATTCTGCATTATGCTTTAAAAAGTATTTGCGTTAAGTATTTTTTCTCTAATCTAATTATTAACCTTTCCTTCACCTTTTCTTTAAGAATCACTTATAAATTCTCATTTGAATTTAAGTCAAAAGAATTAGCAGACTAATCAATCACTAGAATATTATTCGTAACAAAAAATTGATAGGTAAGCTTTGCGATATAAATTGGTGTATTATCCTGTTTAAAATACTATTTATTGTCAGCATGATTAGCATTAGAAAGCAATTGGGATTAAAGGGTATATTATCCTGTTAAAATGCTATCTATTATTAGCATGATTAATATTAGAAAGCAATTAGGATTGAAAAATTTCCTGATATTTTTCAGCATTCATCTTTTCTATAAATAATACTATACAAATTAGTTCTTAATAGCTAAAAGTATCCCAAAAATAAACCTTATATGGTTACCATAGGATATGATATATATAAATTACATATTTTATAGTGTATAAGTTAGATATTGCAGAACATTTGAAAAGTATTTTTTGTCAGAAAATACCATATGAGACCAATCATCTTGGCTATAATTTATGGCCTATTGAAAATAAGCTTTAATATGATTTGTCTTAAAAAGTGGTACTACTCATAATCAATAAATAATATAATTAAGTTTATTTTTAAGGATATATTGGACAGTTTGAGTTGATACGTTAAGTTCTGAATATGTAAAATTCAGTTTTTTATTATTAAAGCTAGAATTGTTGAATTATTAACTTGAAGAAAACAACTAAAATATTAGCATTTATTAGGGTTTCTATAAATCAAATTGAATCAAATATTGAAGCAATTTGAATTTGATTTGATTTTTTCGAATCAAATCAAATCAAATCAAATATAAAATTTCTTTTTAATTATTATAATGATATATTAAAATAAAGTTTTAATTAAGAAAATCATTAGTAATTGCACTAAAAAATTTCA